CCTGTCAGAAAAAGTTGAAAGTGTCATTTGGTGGCCATTGTTGCATAAACGTTGCTGATGAATCACTTCGTGACTTTTCAGAAAACGTATTGCCGTCTCCCTGTTATGAACGAGAGCTGAAAGCGTCAGGAAGTTCATTCAAGGTTTTACGTCCGAACGGAAAAAACTTTTGCACAAAATGAGCGTAGATGCCGATAAGGAATTGTTTTGCTCAAAACTAGGTCAAGGTTGTGTACGTATATTAAATTGGAGCTGGCAAAAAGTGGCAGGGCTTAATTTTTCGCACATGCACTTGTTGCATTAGTGGGAGGTGGCTTATCTGGAAAAGATCCCAACCACGTCTTACACCGCTGAACTCGGTGAACTCAGGTCAAAGTTTGCCGTATGCTCGTACGCGCCTACAGGGATTCGCATATAGTGTCCTTATAAGGGATATAAATTTACAAGGGACACCTTTGATCGCAGACACCGCCAAAGTTTCTCACGATCGACAGAGTCAAAATCAGGCATCCAGGGATATAGGCCGGTCTCACGTTAACACAATCTTAAGTGGGAAAGCTCAACTAGGTCACGCACGCGAATCCATACAGTAGTCTACGAGACAGAACGGTCGACTGGAGTGTATGACGGACGGGTTTTTTATGCTTCAAGGCCCATAATTTGGAAGCACAGGTTTCAGGTGGACCTTCGTCAGGCTAGTCAAATACCATTAGCCCCTCAGACAAATTCAAACTGCCTTCTGCACAAGAGATCCACTTCTGTATGAGTGCCATCGGTGAACTGCCTATGCGCAGTGTTGTTTCCGAATGCTTCACCCAATCTTTTTAGGAGTAAGTCTATGCAGTCAGGCGTTTTTTACCCCCCCCCTTTGGGGTGTACGATAATAAATAATAACAATAATGGTAATAATCGTTCAGCTGTAGCGCCCTTTCGGTGCTTACCTGCCGTGCCTCCCGAAGGAAGCACGAGGCGAACTGAACTGAGGGGTGAAACATTATTCTGAATACAATGTTGTGCTGTGATATGAGTGTTAGCCAACCTGATCGATGGCTGTTCCCCTCGGCTTAGGGTGTACGAACTGAGGGGTGAAACATTATTCTGAATACAATGTTGTGCTGTGATATGAGTGTTAGCCAACCTGATCGATGGCTGTTCCCTCCCCCTAGGCTTAGGGCAAACATGTATCATCCTTATCACTGAGGAGATCTTCCAAATTATTGCTTATTGTCAGCCAATGTTGCTTTTATCAGGAGCAATTGCCAGTCGAATTACGTGCTGTCTACTCGGCCCGCCATGCCCAGTCAGACCGAGCTGATCCTTCGTATGATCCATTGTTGGATTTGGACTCGCTTGCTCGTCTCTATGTAAGCGGGGCCACCTTGTCTCCTGCCGCACCGCTGTTCAGCCGGACAACCTCTCCTGATTCAGTGGTGGAGTCACCCGATGCCCCGCTTTTGAAATGCGGCCGCGATGAATTCCACGCTGCCTTCCGACTAGCTGACTTGATTGTTGAGCTGGCCGACTTGCAACCAGGATCACAGCTTGTCAATCCTGATGAGGCACGCCATCAGTTGTTGGTGCACATTTGGTGTCAAGCATTGAAAATGAATGAGTAAGTTGTCTTGTTGTACCCATAACCCCCTTTTTCCTCTCCAACCCACTCGTGATCAGCTGCATCATTATCAAAGACAACAACATCAGTGCTGGCACTGATGCCTCACTGTCGTCTATATACATACATATATATACATATAATTATATTAAAAGCCCTAGGGTGAAAAGAAGAGGAAAAGAGTGGGTGAAAGAGGCAGGGAACCTAGTGCTGGCCTATGTCAAGCATTCTGAGGTGCCTACACCTCCAACCCCTCAATCAGACAATCTTGAAAGAAACTGACAGCACGAACGCCACTGACATCGATTAGCCGCCATTCTTTGCAACGTCTCCAGCCAACCACAGACGGTCACGGCGACCCCATCCTGGAAGGCGTACAACACCAACAACACCCAAACTCTTCGTGATCTCTTCGACGTCTTTCTGCCAAATCGTGTGCTGTCCACCTCGCGGTTTGCGCCATCCTGAAGGAGGCACGGAGAGCAACACTCGTCTCGGTAGACGGTGTTTCGGGTTTTCTAATCACCTCGTTACTAACACGCTGACGCCATCCAAGACCAGCCACGCTTCTGAGGCATCGATGGTCGAAAACCTGAAGACGCCTCACATCATTTACCCGCAGAGGCCCTGTCTCGCACCCAAAAAACAACACAGCCCTTACTGTAGCCTGGTACACACAACCCTTAAGATCCAGTGAGATGCCTTTTTAACGCCACAAGTGACGCAAATTAGCAAACGTTATTCGAACCTTCTGGATTTTTGCACTGACTTCATCAGACACACTTCCATCAGAGCTGATACAACTACCGAGTTATGTCAAGCTTTCCACGATCTCCTGTGATTTTCCTTGAATTTTAAGGGATATATTCGCAGATGGCTCGTTCTGAAGCTGCAGCATGACACCAGTGTTCAACACTGATGCTTCGCTGCCTTACTGTGAGAAAAATAAAGTAAAATATGCCCACGACTACACACACTGGACGGAAACTAATCGGGATTATCAACCATATCTTGCAGCGTCCTCAATCATGCACGGTCACGTGGAATCAATCCTGAAAGGCGAGGCGCGCTGACAGTAACCTAACCCACACCACTCTCGAATATCTTGCAGCGTCCTCAATCATGCACGGTCACGTGGAATCAATCCTGAAAGGCGAGGCGCGCTGACAGTAACCTAACCCACACCACTCTCGAGTTCGAGATGTAGCGTGAACTTACTGACCATGGTCCCTGTCTCGGCTTAGAGAACTTGACGGTATCTCAATCCTCGTGTCTCTTTTGTGGATGCATGACAACTTGGCTCAGAAGGGTTGTATTTCGAGTGGAATTTTTTTCTTCATTATTGCTCTTACAGCTTTCAGTTAGTCGGACACTTTACTTTTTTTGAGACTATGTGATTCGAACGAAGAACAACAGCTGAGATACGATCAGGCTGTCCACGTCTGGATAGACTTTCTAGTTTCAATGAGAACTCGCGTCCACTCCCACTGTCAAGTTTTTACGTCCCGTTCAACCGCAGTCTGTTACACCGCAATGTTATATCACGAGGGCAAAGATTGCATTAGCATATGCCTTGGCTACTTACGTCTTGACTTGACTATACATTGGTAACTTTCATGTTTCCTATAGCTGGACCAAGACGGCGGAACACGAGGATCCGGTGGACATATGCAGCCGAAGCTTTGTGTGCTCGTTGGTTCGGGACCTCAGTCGAACACGTAAGTAGTACCAAGAGAGTTTGCCTGTCTCTGTGTTGATCGTATATCGGTGTTCCAATTGATGCATATGATGTTTGGTTCGGAGAGGGGTCATAGGAACGTCATCGCCGATTGTTTACCCCTTAATTGTGACCGCCGTTCAACCGTGTACACCAGTTGTCAGGTCTTTCATACCTGGCGACTGTTTCGTTTCACACGTTTTTGTTGGCAAAGCGGTTCCACACATTGCCTACCATAAAGTGAGGAAGATTGGATTGCCTACGTGCTCCTCGATATGAGTGTTTCCCTCCACCCATGTATACCTCTTCTCCAGCGCGTTTTTCTTTTCACCTGTAGATGCGAAAGCCTTGGAAGTCCTCTTCACACCAGATGAGCTTTTCGATCATCCAGACCTGGCTGACCTATCAGGCGACCCTCGTTTTCGTTATCTCATCCAATCGGGCCTCGAGTACATGCAGAGTTTGTTCATATGAACCCTCGCCAAGATTCACGCAGTTTTCCCCCTTCTCCCCCCTCATCCGAAAATGCATTTTGTATCTTATAAATATATGTGTGAACTTTTGAGAATTTGTCATTTTTAATAATTCTTATGAACGAGTGAGTCAGAAATCTATGAGTGTAGAATTTGTGTTTGTTCACAGTTCACTGAGAGCTGTTGTTTTCTAGGATTCTTGGAAGTGAAATTCCCCTCGAATTCTTGGTGTCAGTCTGGTAAATAAGTGGCTTTTACTTCAAATCGAGTACAGTAAGTACACTTGCTAATTGTCCACCTTCTTGAAGAATCTGGAATGTTTCGCGGGAATTTAATAAATTTGACTAAATAACTTTTAGCTTACCGGTTACGCAGCTAATAACTTTTATCGTTCCTACTGTTAGTCAGTCACAGTTTCAAGCCTGCGTGTAGATTCTCTGGCGGGTTTTCTTGTAGAGTATTCCATCGACGAGCAGGTGAACGACATGCCGGTACGGGAAAATGTTCAGCGCTGAATTCGCGCTTGATTTCTTACAGACCATCCCGTTAGTCAAGTGTGCTGCTAGGCTTCACGTTTATCAGTCAGATTCCTTGTGGACCCTCACTAGAATCCACCATGCCACTACGGATCAGCGGTTTTTCTTGAGGTTTGCTGCGAAACTGAGCTCAGATAATCAGGTTCACTCGCGTACCTTTCTGTTTAATGAAAACTGAGGTTCCATTCCGCCCCAATGACCACGCTCTTTTCCTATTTCAGACTATTCTTCCTTACCTGCGTGTTCATCGTATCAGTCCTCACCACCATGTATTCCAATCAGGGACTAATGTTTGGTGACTATTCTCTCGAACAACAGTCGTTTCGTGACCTAAACAGACACGAAAAAAGCTTGGGGCTGCTGACCGAGAAATTTGTCCAGCTGTTGAAGGAGGCACCCGATGGGATTTTGGATCTCAAAATGGTAGGTTTTATAAAACACACCGCTCTCTAAGAATCGATGACGTTGCTGTTTCAGGCTGCGGACTACTTAGCCGTGAGACAAAAACGGCGAATCTATGATATAACCAATGTTCTGGAAGGAATCGGTCTGATCGAGAAGCGCACAAAGAATAGTATTCAATGGAAGTGAGTTGTTTGTCCAGCGTGATCAGTGTGTGCTTATTTCGATAATAAAAAATGAAAAAAACCGTCCAGTTTTAACACTCTTCCGGTGCATAGCTGCCATGCCACTCAGAGGAAGCATAAGGGCCGGAATACTGCCAGGTTGCTCAAGCCTAGACAGGGGAAGTCGAGAGGCAGAGGTCGGGTCAGCAAATTCGCACTATAACCACTTGAGCTATCTCGTTCCCGCTTACTTCGATGCAGACAAGCTGTTCTTTTACTTGGACAAGGATACAGGATTGCTCCTCTCAGCTCACACAGAAACCTAAGGTTCCGTTGGGACTGGAACTTTTCAAATCGTTGTTGTACATGGTGGGATAAAATTTACCCTATCCAGCTTCTAACTGGTCAGCAAGTTGGACTACACCGTTGATACTGACATACCCACAGTGCTGGATAGACTGTGAAAAGTTTTGACGAATAGTGAAAATCCTGGTGACGTATTGGATGAAACGACCCGACGTGTTCTCCAGCAAGAACGGCCATCATCAAAGAACAAGTAACTAACATTAAAGCGTTTCCAATGCGGTTGACGAAAGAGTAAATGCCGTGTATCCTGACCACTGCATATGTTACACTGTGTGTGTTACGGTGTGTGTCGTGTCACCGTCTGCCGTGCCTGAGTGCCTTTGTATAGTGAATTAGGCCGGACCAGCGGGCGGATAACTCCACTGTCAGACCTATTAACAAATGAAGACATCGTGTTACGGATTCGGCGCAACAACACCTTTCCTGGAGCGGCTAGAGAGTGTCGTTTGTTTATTGCCCAGTGTAAACACAATTACACCTGATGCAATCAACCGTGTGGACAGTTGGTACGGTCGTCGGGATTCTACAGGTCTTTCCTGCGAACCAGTTGCCCCTGTAGTATGGTGTCCAGTTTGAAGTTGGAGAGTGCGTAACGGATGCTTTTTGATGTGTGGATACGGGATCCGTACCCTGCCATTTGGATTGACCCCAGGTCTATTTACCATCATCTGGGGCGTGTGACCGAAGCATATGATCAATGAAACGTTTTGGGCACCCACTATTCCCGAGTATTTTCTTGCGGTGGATGATATTGTCTTCAGATGAAGCCGTGTTACTACAGATTGTATCCGCAGCATGCGAATAGTGCCCTTTTCGTAACCAATGGATGAGCAGAGTTAAGGTTTGAATAGCGATCCTATTTGGTTGATCTGTGGTTTAAGAGTGATTGCAAGAGTCGTCACTATCAAGAAAACAAATCATTCTGTGAAATGTGTCATATTCTAAATGGAAACAAATAATTACATTAAGTCTTGAGGTATGACAAGAACTAATGCGCACTGCAGATCTTTATGGTAATAGGTGTTTCATCGGTGTACCTCACCCAACCCCTCTGGGAAGTGTCGAAATTTCCCAGTGCCCGAGATTCCCGCTCTGTTGGCTACGACTGGGTGTTGCATACGTATTTACTAGTTGAACGAGGCTACATATCTTAACTTCAGCAGGTCGTTTGATAGAATGGGATCACGGAGATTTTGTTGAGGTTCCTGATACGGAACTTGGAGTGACGCGTGGGTTCGACAATCCCGAATAACAAAAGGAATAATTGGGTTCGAAATTCTACGGTACTATGTACACACGGATAAGCAAACCTCGTAGCGTCATCAAGTGCACAAGCCTTTCACTGACCGGGCGGAATGTTGGCTCAGTAGTGTAGGTTGCGGTCGACCGTTCCAACAAACAATCTCGTGATTGTGATTGGCGGTGCGATCCCAGGGGGTTCATAAGTGAACAAGTCAGTGCAGGCTCAGAAAACGGGTCACGAACGCGCATGGTTAAGTAGTCAGTAGCACACACTCAGACACATGCTAATGCACAAGTGTCGGACGGCACGAAATTTGCTTAAAGGTCAGTGGCTGGTACAAATGAACAAAACAAGTGGGGATCAAAAGTACATAGGCGGAGTAAGTAAATGGATGGGGAAATAATCATGAGGTCAAGTTCAGTTCAATAGACACTCCTTCAAAGAGTACCAATGAAAACAATTAAAAATATTCACCTTTCAGCCCACAAGGGCTTCTTAACAAAAGTCCGTTTTCCTGCTGAGCGGAAGGTACTATCCAAGACGTCGTCCAGCCACATGGTCAGCATGTGTGTTCCGGTCTGAATCATTTTGGCACTTGATTATTGAATACAGGCCAATGTAGACACTTGCACCGACATAAGTATGTTCCCATCAGCAGAACGCTCGGCATTATGCAGCACTGAATTTATTTTATGCAGGGAGGTCTTTCTAAGAAGTCCAAACCTCCACGTTTTGAACAGCATCCAAAAAACGGTGGCTTGAAGGCAAGGCTGCCTGCAAATGATCCAGCTCTGTAGTCTGGTCAAGATACGGCTCCCGACGTAAATTGCTCTATGCATTAGGATTAGAAAATAGTAAATAGAAAGGGGCGATCATTCGAGGGTGTACTGATGAATTATGAGGGTTAAGCTCATTTAAGGTGCTCTGGACGTTCAGTATTGTTCGGCATTTCGCCCCTCAGAGCAAACTTATGGGGAAATACAATAGGGCAAAAGTAACCCACGTTGACTTGAATTACATTGCTGATCTACAAGGGAACTGTGTTTAGCTGTTCATTGCTTCCGAGACGCACCAGTTCAGGGTGAATTTCGTTATCAGGCGCCTTCTTTTGGGGTAAGTGAGCGGATAACTTCGTTGGGCGTGTTAGCTCTCGATATGCCATCCACCTCCCCAGGCGAGGAAGTCAATGTGCTGAATAGCCGTTGTCTAGAACTTAGCCAACTGCTAGACTATAGATGAAAGCTCTTCTCGGATGCTACCAGACAACCTGTTTCGGTTCATGAAACGTACTTTTTGTGGATGTGGAGGTCCTTATTGCAGGTGTTCATTGCTATACGCTTACTTTTCGGTTCAGAGTGGTGTGTTTTGAGCAAATACGTCTCTGGGGAACTCAGGTGCACCTAGTAGTCTGCTTTGCAAGCTCGAGAAACCGTCGGACCAAAAATGTACTTATATCAAACCCGTACGATGTCTTTCTGTCGACTTACGGACATTCTAGCCTGAGGGGCCAGGTGGACCAAGTGGTTAGAGTGCGAATTTACTGACCGGAAGGTCCGCGTTTCGAACCGGACTTCTGCCACTCGACTTCCCCTGTCTAGGCTTGGCAACCTGGTAAGTACCCCAGCCCTCGTGCAACCTTCGGGTGGCATGGCAGTTAGGCACCGAAAGGGTGCTACAGCTGAACGACGGCTAGTTTAGTCTGGCTAGCTCGGTTGACAATGTAGCGAAAGGTCGCCGTTTCAACCGCAAACTGATTTAAGCAAGCCTTGCGTGAATGTTTTCCTGCCATTTGGCATTTCTTTTCACTTTGGTTGGGCAAAGTTAGTGTAGCACTCGACAATAAAACATCCTCACCTATCCCGATCGGTAAATTTGCGTTGCATCCGAGAATCTTCAGCATTTTGCTTCCGAAAAGGTTATTAGAAAAAGCAGATGACGTGTTACGAGTGCCAAAGGTGTCGTAACGGTTCTCGCGACGACGCTGTCACTTCCTGAAACTTCGCTCCACTGTTTGGTCTATAGGGGCGGAAGTGCTGCCACCAACGGACCAGACATTCAGGCTCGTCTGGACGAATTGCAGGCCGAGGTGGAGTATCTGGAGAATTTGGAGAAGAAAGTCGACGAACACAGGACCAAAGTATTACAATCACTGAAGAACGTCCAAGAGGATCTTGACAACCTCCAGTACGCCTACGTGACACATCAGGACCTGATCAATATCTTCCAAGACCGGACGATGCTGGTCATTCGAGCACCGCCTGGGACTCGACTCGAGGCTCCCGTACCCGAGAATCCGGCGGAACAGCCTGTACAATCACTGTTCTCACAAAAGCGTTCGTACAAGGTATGTGTGTACTTTTTCCGCTCTTCAGTTACATTTCTGGTTGTTAGGACGCCCAGTAGGTTTCGTGTTACAAGAATATCCTTTTACTGGGCCTTACCAAGAACGCAAAGATCAGACCGCAACTGATCATTCTGGCATTCCATTGAGCGGTGCACCGAGGAGGGGGCTTATCGCCTTCTCAAGAGGCGTCAGACTATCGATCATAGGGTAGGCTCATCTGTCTTTGCATTATGGCAGGTACATAGCTCAAAAACTGATTAAAATTCCGGTTAGACTTTTTGAATGGCTCCTAGCATTCGCTACAAGCTTTATGAAGTAAGCCCACAGAGGGTTTATTGGATTAACCCGTCAAGTTCACTGCCGTTTGGACCAACGGTTATGCTTCTATCATCCCTCAGACAACTGTCATCCTGATCCGGTTGTTTCCGGCAGACCAACCCCATAGCATAGACAAGCACGTCCACGAATCGCACGAGCCACTCTATCCACCGGATACAGAGACTGCGTCAAGTCGCTTGACAGGTAAATTTACCTACAATTGCTCTGGTTAACCATACTGTTCCATCTTGTTGCAGGTTCATGTGAAAAGCTACACCACCCCGATTCACGTGCTACTGGTCAATCAAGAGGAAGGCAGTGACAGGGCCCGCGTGTTACCCGTACCTGCTGGACCTGAAGCAGGTGTCCTGAATAGAAGATCCTCTAGTCTTTCCAGGACTGTTGGTGAGCAAACCGTTGAATTACTACCTCCGTTTTCCAAAAATGTCTTCCCCATACGATTGTGGCCACACAGATGGCGTCTGGGAATTCCACTCGTTACTTCGTTTCCACGTTTATCTGCATACCTATATCGTTTCTGATGGTTACCATAAACATTCTGCTGGAAATTGAACATCCGGTGTGTCCAAACCCGAACTATGCCCAAATTACGGGCGATGATGAAATTTGAAGTACATTCTAGGAGTCTGATATCAGTTAACTAATAAGACCTGACTGTTCGGTCATTATCCAAAAGTATGCGGGTCCGAATCCCCTCGGGAGTCGCGGTGGCTGAGACCGTCCAGAATTAGATATAAAAATGTGCTCAGAAGTCACCTGGGTGTCCCTCCGAAAAATCCTCGCACTGGAGAAGACATTTGGTATCAAGCAATGTGGCGCCTTATCAAGAGCAAGAGCAATGGTTAGCAAGAGCTAACCATTTTGATGATCCGTAACTCACCCTTGATGTTTAAACTCTCTACAGGTGCGCGCTGACAGGGCAATGAGGCAAATGTGTGGGGCTAATTATTGCAGACACCATTTTTAAATCGATCGGGCCACAGTCGGTCCTTATTGACGTTGGCATAAATACGAGATGGTTTTCGGTGTTGCCAGTTGGAATAACATACGGTCACTACCCGTAGGACACCGGTGCATTTCGCTTGTGTGGTGCTGAATACTCCTCATGCATTAGTGGAAAGTTGTGCTCTTTTATGGAGGCCCCTTGGTATGTTGCCCATTCAGTATTTGTCAAACGCCAGACGAGAAAGCTGGCACCGCATTCTCGAAACACTCGTTTAATGCTGGTCGTTCGCCCTACCTTTTGAGTGACCTTCGCCACTGTTTCAATGCCAACCACAAAGCACAGTAAAGCCAATTGCCACGTTCCTTTACGGCTCAAACGGATCAACATTATGCGTCGCGGAACGTCTGGACGTTAGTCGACAATCAGTCGTGTGATTTTATCACGATCGCCCTCGCTTTCCGGAGACCAGCTGCCAAATAATCCGCGCCCCACAGGTTCAGTGTTCTCCAAGACCACAGGAATACAAGTAGCAGGGCACGGACTGACCCCAGGCTGTGAATATTGTGATGTCTTGATATCTACAGTCCCATGCTATAGCTCACCGAATCGGAATCAATTCTCGAGTACACGTAGGAGGCACCTTTGTTCATCCTCTCACAGCGAACACTGCGGGGAAAGTTACTGCGCCTTTCTGCCAGAAAAAAGGCTGCGGTTGATTGTTTCAGTCAGTCGACATCAGCACAATCAAGTCTCAAGCGTTGATCCATCAACATCCAGCTCCGGTTATGGAAGGGCTAGCTCGGAACAATTAAACTAAATCGAGTAATATGAAATATGCTTGTCGTTTTTCCCTACTGATGATACGCAGCAGTGTAGTTGCATAAAAATCTCAGTTGGTGCAGCTATACTTACTACTATGGTCAGGTTTTACTCAATAAAACTCGTTTGCTTTAATAGTTATGGCATTCCACGGTCTGACCAAGAATGAAATAATCGAATCGTTTACAGCTGTTTAGTCTTCCGGGGGCTTTCTTTCCATTGGTAAACCACTGACGAACCCAGACTGAATAGAATCCTTGAAACGTTCTGGTAGCTAGATTTGAGAAGCTATCCAAACTATTGATAATGCGTGCAGATAGGTCTTAGCCCACTATCTCTTTATTTGCAGGGGAGAATACTCTCGTCAGCCCTCTTCTTCCATTGAGTCCACCACCAAACGAATGCGATTTCAGCTACAACCTGGATGATACCGAGGGTTTGTGCGACCTATTCGACGTCCCGGTCGTTCCAACAGCACCTGCTGAGGAGGATGCTACGAACTAATATTATAATCCTTCCACTCATTAGTGTTGTACCAAAACATTGCACAATATTTGATGTATATATAAAGGTGTATTTATCCACACGTTTGCAGTGTTTCCATGTCACAGTAGCCTTAATAGACAATGGGAGCTTGTTGAGTTGGCAATATTTTGAACCGGAGCTTCAAGGTTACCCTGTGTCGGGAGAAACGATCTTCCGGACTGTAGCGACTGGGGTGGGCACTCAAAGTCGGTCTTCCATCAGGAGCGGTTTGCTGGAATGAATTGCAAAAAGGGACGAATAGTCAAGATACGCGGTTACCATGTACTGATTCGAGTGTGTAGACAAGGAAGCTTGGGGACAATGGGGAAAAACATATTTGCCGCTTTTTTGCAAAGCAAATGCGATGTCAATCAACTCGAATCAAGGGTGTTAGCGGAACCATTTTCAAACCAAAACTAGCGTTGCGTTCGTAACTGTTGATTACATATGGCCTAGTGTTCAGTCACCTCTGTAATGGTCAGCAAAGCGGGTTGCGGAGAACAATCGCTGGTTAAGCGTTGAAGGATGCGGTAATCCGAAAAGGTAACGAAAACTACACTGTTTTGAAGACAGGTCGTTTCGCACGAAAACGAATGCGCAGAGTTTCATCTGATGTGACGGCTTCCGAAAATGCAGTTTTGCAGCGGAACTCGGTCACTATTCCCGTACCACAACTGCAGATCGAGCTATGGATTTACTTGCTCAAAGATACACCCAATAATAGTGCCTGTGTGTGGTACGCGACAGTAACGGTTCTGTAAAACATTCGGTTAGGAATGTTCAGGAATACAGTCCGAATGGTATCTGTTTATGGAGAGCGTGCTTTAAGCTGTGCCGAAATCGATTGGTTCATAAGCTGTACAAAGGTGCGGACGGAAGGGATATGTAAGAAAAGTGAACTGCAACAAAGCCGCCGTGGCGAAAAGCCTCATGTTGCATGGGATATGAATCGAATGGATAGATGGACGCGGTCATAAAAGGGTTACGAAAACTGAAACATGGGAGTTAGTGGGGCTTGTAGTGGGACTTGTAGTGTGGTGGTGGTGTGTGCGTGTAGTGGGACTTGTAGTTACATACTATCATACTGAGGAATGCATCCAGCCATTAGTGTCCTCACTCGACAGTAGGAAAAGGCTGGTCAGTGAAGACTGGAATCTGACCACAGTCATCACCGACAGCATATCAGAGTTCAAAACTGACGCTTCGCTGCCGCACCATTGTGAATAAAAGAATGAAAATGGACGGAGAAGGAAGCTAGTTCTAATTACCACAATCATTCCAAGGTACATACATCTCCAGAAACTTCTTCAGACAATCTGAATATGAACTAGCAACAATGACGCCGACGACATCGGAGGATGACATAAATCATGAGCGCGGAACGTCACAAAGACCCCTTTTGAGGATGACTGTATATCGGTTACCAGGCGTGAGTTAAGTCACAGGTCAATTGCGTTCTCATACAACCACAGTGTTAGTCCCATCAGCCAACTAATAGTGGTCGACGATTAATAATCCTGAGACCGCATTTTCGCAGAGTGCGATCACACACAAGCTTCTTCGCACACCTTACCACAGCTTTTAATCATCTTAGGCTGTATGCTAGTTAAGCACCAGCAGGTGTTACGTAGTGATGTCGATTATGGTGATTCTGTGGCAGTCAGGCATCAACTTCCAATACTGGTGTATTGTTATCCCTGAGTAAGGTGCTGCTGCTGATAATGACGACAATGTTGCTTGTTTCTGGGAACAGCTATCATTCCTCGTATACCGGCGTTTGTAACCCTTTATTTCGGTCATTCCTAATAAACCTATGGAACTATAGAACCACCACAAGAGAGTTGGACTGCCAGAAGGGACATCAGCAGGGCAAGGCGTTAAGGAATACTCCCTGGACTACATGGTGGGAAAACGACGAACTGTCGTTGTATCGATGGTAGCAGCGTTCAGGAAACATTTGGACAAACTTTGGTGTTCCTGTTATCCGTCGGTTGGATCCTAGCGACATACGCATTGTGCTAACGCATGCAGCTAGCAGAGTAAGGCGAAGCATGGGCGGACCATCGGACCAACAACTTAGGGAGGGCAATTTGTTTCACTTCCACCTTAGCCCACGGGTGGGCTGGCCAAAGAATTCATTTGGCCATAGGCCGGAGTCGATTCTTACCATGCTCTAATATACAAGACAGAGAACCGTATAGGTAACGCAACACAGCTAATCGACTGCACACCACCCAGCACACTCCACACGACAATTACACACTCATCTGCATCCAGACGAAACCATCAGTCCTGCCAACATCCGACCGCATCTCCTATTGACCGTAAACTGCGCGGACAGGAATCATAGGCAAAATGCACTCGCACAGTTGAGCCTACGAGATAACCGGCAAACAAGACGACGCCTCAAATCGGGTCATCATAAATGCTGTGGAGAAAAATATCTACTTGAGCAACCAACCTGCTTGTTTAGGACACTGGAACTACCGATGCAGGGAAACAGCTGGAACCTGGGCAGAGGCCCGTCTCAGGTACCTTGAAACGAAAAACTAACTATTCGGGGAAGCCGATGATTTTGAGACCACTGAGGACAGGGACGGACATTTTTGCCAGCGCCAAGTTTCACGCCTGCGTGGAAATACACCACAATAACAAGAGATCCAAACAAACAAGAGGCGAAAATCTGCCAACGAAGCAAAAGAACAAATAGGTCAAGTGACAGAGGCATTCGGTCGACCGCGGCTTCAACCCGATTTAGAACTGTCGTACAAACCAGTAGTCGATCCACTTATACAGTTTATGACTAATACTCTGCATCTACTCAGATATCTTTTTCACATATGTTGGAGAGGTACCGCTGTTATGTGGCTCATCTCCGACGGAGAAACCTCGGTGGCTGGCTACCGCGTCATTCGAAAAGACTCCCTTAGGGAGCAGGTGGTGCTGCTTTGTGTTTCGATACAAACCGCCTCATCCTAACTTCTGTTCGCCAGATTTGCCGGATTTTTCGAGGTCATGCTTCCCCGCGCAGTGCTGACTGGTTTATCACAGTCCCCTGATCTCCCTCGAAGACAAATCATACACCTTGTATGGTATCCTGAGTTCCTCGTTTCACGCACTTGTTGCCAGCAGGTTCCACATACTCTGATATTCCTAAGGCCTCAGGGATGAGACTTTATCACATTGGGTCCGGTAAAATTTTCGCGCAACGGTATGTGTTAAGACACCCACCAGGAATCACTCACAGCAGTAGACGTCACTAGTTGATCTGGTCTTCACTGTTTACCAAACAATAATCAGAGCCCCACTGTGTCAAAGTGACCACTGCTGGGTAAGGAATCCTCTAATATATGTGTGGTTGGGGCACGAACTAACTGACCGGAAGGCCAGTGGTTCGAACACAACCTCTACATCTCGACTGCTCCTGTTGGTACCAACTAATACACCCGAGCTACCAATACTCCAACACACTACCTCAGTATCCGTACATACTTGGGGTGGCATGGCGGCTGTGCACCGAAAGGGTGTTACTATTGTTATTCTTATTATTGTTACCATAGACCTCTTTGGGATGTTCTCACCAGTCAGAGGTCAATAGAAAATGTTCTAATTCGGCTCAAACTGCTGTTGCCGCGTGTAGAGGCTAGCAACCCACCGGCCCACCCAGAAAGCTTGGTCGCCATCGGTCTTAACGGAACCTCCAGAGAATGCGGAGCCCTCTGGACATGAGGTCGCGACTTTTCGCGAAAAAATCGACCTTCGGCACTTTACACGTGTGTGCGACACTGTTGGGGACCGGATTCTGTTTCGAGCCTTAACCCGGTCGTCACGACGCAATTTATGAGAGCACACCTTACAGTAATGCACTCGCCCATCCTTCTCATCATGACGATGGACTCAACTTCTAATGGATCTATGGTTCACTACGATTTTCTGGTTGAAGTGAATTTGTTCGGCATCTCAGGTCCACAAGACATTCACCTTAGCATGCTGAATCGATTTAGCTGACAGTCAACTGTCAACCGATTCTACCAACGCTGACCTAGAAGCTACTGGCACGCTCAAAGAATAAAATTATAATCGCTTAGCTTTATCGGCGCCTAGTTGCCACGCAACTCGAATGTGACCTAAGATATTCTGAGGTTGCCCAGGCATAAACAGGAGCAGTCGAGACGCCGGAGCCGGGTTTGAATCAGTCAGTAAGTTCGTGGATTAATCATTGAGCTACCTTGGACTCTCACATTTAGATTTGGTTACCGACTAGCACCAGTAGGGCAATCGGAAAATGAAGGGACCTCTTATTTCTAATCAATTAATAACACAAGCACAACATGAATTCGCAGAGGCTCGATACAAGTAAAGAACAAGCTCATATCGAATGACGTATTAATCGACTCCGAAGGGGTCATTGACCGAGATCCTCAAACACCGTTACTCTACAAATTCAAATAATCATCATTGTTATCAGCTGTAAGAACCGCATACTTGTCGTACAGTAGTCATAGCTGCCACAGTTTCGTTCACCGATGATTTGGGGAATATAAACATGGTTGTACGCCTGTGAAGCGCTGCTTCTCGTGATGTCGCAGAGTCGGTGCTGCGGCCTCATCTGCCACAACAATCTGCTCCAAGGACAATGGTTCCGTGGTCGATACTCCATTGAGTGAAGGGCGGAAAAAAGCCATATGAGGTCAAGCAATGACTTGGTAGCGGAGTATGAAAGTCATAGCGAGCGAACTCAGCTGCACTGGTCATTGCCGACTCCCTGGATGGAGACCCGGAGACGGGACACGCCAATGGTTGCAGACGTTGTCAGACATGGCCCAGCCGCGCTCTCAATGACTCTCGTGCATTCAAGCTATTGCCTTCAATGCATAGTTCCCTTCTCAATCTCCCCACTTAAAAGTCCACTGCCAACCCTGTATCTAAGCAATTATGTCGGCTCCGGTCTCCAATGCACAGCTACCAACCCCACCTTCCCAAATCATCGATGGACAAAAGTGTGGCAGCTACAACCACTATATAACAAGTTCTTACAGCAGATAATGATGACAGCTTCCTCAACCAACTCCTTTGATCGGATATCTGTGCTCACAACTTCATCAGATGAGAAAGGAGCGTTAAAATACTCGACTACATCCAAAACATCCGCCTGAATTGCCCTGACCTTTACCTCACGCGAGATCGCTCAGTGGTTAGAGCGCGAATTTACTAACCGGAAGATCCGCGGTTCGAACCCGACGCCTGTCTCTCGGCTTTCCCTGTCTCGGCTTGGGCACCTTCCCCGTATTCAGCCCTCGGGTAGCATGGCAGCTAGACACCGAAAGGGTGTTACAACTGAACTATTATTAATATTTATATCACGCCTCACCAGGCAAACGCTATGCCCGTGCAAGACATTTCCGAACGCGATAACACCTTGACAACGGCCACTACCCAAAAGTAAGGCTTCAGTCCGTGTCAACAGCCGGATTCCACAGGCCTATAGCTCATCTAAACTTTTATTCCACCATATATAATCTCAACAATGTCGCGGCTCCCCCATCTCCCAAATTCAGGAGTGCTTACATCCTCCCCAGACGAGTCAGATCAATAATACTCGGGAAGACCAGCACAACACATCCAGAATCCAGTCACAATAATCTATCTGTATCAAGTGAGCTTCACAACGATTGGAATGCAGTGGTCCGGATTGAATTCCAGGTCAAAAATCTTCGAAAGAATGAACGCCTGTATTCGCGCTACTACACAAAATACTTTATTACAGCATCGGGTATCTTCCCGTCAACCGGGAAACAAGCCACCACCCATCACATTTATTAAAAATGCTATTCTAACAATTTCGAATGCCCTCCAACCAGCCTTACTAGAATACTATGCAATTTGACGGGGAAAACCAACAACAGCAGGATACCCCCTTTCCTGTTCTCAAAGGAACTGCGTGGCGTCTGATAGCTTCATCCCATCTGATTAATCTAATTCGTTACTACTCTTATTTTAATAGTGCAGAATCCGGAGCACATATCCAGTATCCATTTCCGATTTCTCTGGAGCTTCAGACAGAACCCCAAACAATGCGCTTGTTCGGGTTTGGGAACTCAGATCTGGCGATTCCAGCTCTCGACGGCAGTCAGTATACCTGGCCGAACACAATTCGCAATTTAGGTCCAAATCTCTTCATCTGTCCGAGGTTCACGATTTCTTCAAGTTGCCCCAAGACCCTTCCCCCTAATATTTTCATCAATCCTGCGCTTTCCCTTTCAGTCGTAATCGCACAGCGCTGCTGGTAATTTAAAAATATGGTACAGCGACCCAGTGGTTCTGCCAAGTGAGATTAACGGCTGTTCGTTACGAACATATCAAAACTCCTTTCTAATCAACAAAGAGAAAACGGTGCGCGTGGCTATCCATAAACTTCCCAATAAGCCACTAAAATTCTAGCGACACAGCCCTCATTCTTACGTCTGTACATCACACACACATTGAATTCTTCACCCGCCCGCACTAATAAGTCTGTCGTCGTTCTTCAGATGATTCGCCGCACCTGCCCCTGTATTGCTCGCATGGCTGATGAGCTTGGATCAAATGAACTGTAATCGCACTTGAAGTTCATTCATTCCTGTTGTAAATAGTACCCGACTAACATCGCAACGCCCACGAGATGTTCTGATTATATTTCAGCTAGTCGCCCCGAATCTGCGCACAGAAATAAAACTGTCGACCAACTAGTGTCAAAGAGCCCTCGGAGTCCTACTATTGGACATATGGCTGGGCAGCTCATTCTTCCGAATTGAATCAGAGCGACAATAAAGTTAACTAAAAAGTGGAACCTAACCTTCATAGTGTAAACTCGCTTGCCCTCTTCATCCAGGTAATAGCGTAGTAACATTCCAACGACAAAGTCGGCGTCTGGCACGTGCGCAAGAGGCGGTAGATCCCGAATAATATTGAAAGCTCATTGGTCGAAAAGTCCGAACGGTAGGACGGGCGGACAGCAGGTCGAACTCAAGTAAAGTTCGCACAGGAATCTAGCATCCTGTTTGAGGACAGACGGCTCTTGGTGACTCATATCGTTCAGGAAGTGCGGCGTGACTATGGCAGAGAATGCAGAACGTTGGAAGATTTATTCGGGGTGGGAAACTGCGGTTCATGTCCTTACCTGAATTGAACGTGTTTGTTTAAGTTGGTAATGCCTTTTCCGGTATCTCTTTTCGTGACTCACTACGTGCCCGCGAATACGTTGGGACTGATGGAATTAGGCCTTTTTCAATTCTGTAATATGCTTTCCACAGATATGGTGCAATTATAGTGTGATAATGATCAAATATATGCCCCACCATCGTCACAGGCCTGGATCGTTTAAGCGGCTGAGATACCTTAGTGAATGTTACTTTTGTTGATGATATTCTGGCAAGTATTGGGTCCCTAAAACCACGAACAACATCCTTTTTTATTTGTACTTCTCCAGTGGACTGAAGTCAACGAACGGACGGGCGCCTGAACCAACGCCTAAATCCAGCGCATTAATACGCGAGGCCGTGTTTTCAGCAGCGCAGGCTGGATGCAGCCAGGCTACAAGTTAAAACAAGAAACTTATATAGCTGTGATAGACACAATGGATCGAAAATAAACGTAGACTACCCGCGTCACCGGGCCCAACCGAGTGAGCAACCGATGCACACAGGATTGTTGCACCGTGCGAACCAGGAGCTGACTCGCCTACGACCTTAACTTTGGGCCTTATACTCAAAGCGGCTAGAAAGGATATATCGTCGAATTTTAGCCACGTAAACTGCCTCAAATTTTTCCACTCGCTTTAGGAAAAGTGACAGATCCCCGAAACTGTGTCCTTCCTTGACAACCCCAGGCTAAAGTTGGCGGGATGCTGGAATCGAGATGTCTAGCAGACCTGAACCGTATTTTCGAGCAAAGCCTTTCACCCGTATTGCCATCTCCTGAAAAGCTGCTATCTTGGCCATTTTCGGGGTCCCAATTCTACGAAACCTTTTTCTCGGCCCATTCCACTTTATACTTTCGGGAGCTAATGGTAACTCGCATGGAACCTTGAGTTAACCATCTTGCAAGCATACAAATTTCATACAAGTTTAGCCGACAGGTGCTTCAGCGCTCCAAGGCCTTCTGGAATAAAGCAGATAGCAGCGATCCAGGGACTGGTGACCATTTCTTTACCAATCACGTTTCTCCCAGGTTATGATACTTTCCAACTCAAAAAAGAATTTCCAGATATACTGATCTATCGACTCACTGGTCTATTGCTTGTTGCGGACTGCATAGCACCCAAATTTAGAGGCAGCTGGCGCAAACAAACTGATCAAGTGAGTCTGATTTTCGGTTTTTTGGTCGTCCTACAAACCCACACGTTTGAAATATCACTGGTTCAGGCGGGCCATTCAGCGGACACCTGTTTCGCCCAGATCTGTTGTGGTCCACCGATAGCTTTAGTGGAGAGCAGCATGCAATTACCTGGCCCATGACTTAAAGTGGGTGCACCGCAGAAGTAGAGTGCGATGTGACGGAAGATTTCGCGCACAGGTAATAGTAAATAAAAACTTCAATATACTGAGGGGTTTTGTCATTGTAAGCATATCAGACAGCGAAGGTCTCCTTTCGCACATTTGTGCGAGCAAAAACCGAAATCGCCTTCGAATGCAACGCGCCTGAAATCATTGAATTAGTCGTACCTGATGCACCATTCCTCTAGTAGTTGGTCTCCACAATCGTGTCTCCTTGGCCCTATCTTGCTCCTTATGTTGTTGTTAACCACCGCGTCCAGGTTGGGACCTCCCGACCATGCCTCAATTGGCCTGTTCCACACAGTTTGGGAAATAAACCTATCACTATCATTGATAGCACGTCACATGCTTGGTACCACCTGAACAGGTCAACGACTCAAAAAATCTAGGCCATGCTTACTACCCAATATCAACGCGATTTTTGGATAGAAAAAACGTCGCACGTCTTCTAACGCCTCAGACCCTCCTCTTCTACACTAAAAAATCCCAAACCGTAAAAGTCTAATCTACTTGTACCCCACTGCAAAAACACTATACTCAAAATTCAGTCGCAATCATTAAACTCTACAAAATAAAGCTGTCAATCGTATCCCTCCTTCCGACGTAATTTTGCGCCAACTGATACTCTCAGCATGATTCTATCGCGGCCTTCTATGCAACCAACTGCTTGGACAACTACTCAAGCCAGCTCACCGTTAACGCATGTGTGCATAGCAGCCGAGAGAACCTTCATTCAGACAGCAGCTTACTGAGTGTGCAAATTGGACCGGTTTCTTTTGCAGTCACATTCAACCGTTTTGGACAGTACAGAAGCCAGTTCTTAGCCGATCAATCCTCCATCCGCCCCTACTAAGTCTTGGGTTGTCATGTTCTCTACAGATTCCCAGTGCTCCTGCACCAATCGTTTTCCAATCCTTCGTTACCCCGTGTTCGATTCCTACCACAGCTATACATGCTGAGGCGCTGATCTATGTCCTAACGCCTCACAAACCGGCCTGTCGACTCCATTCCCCGCATTTTCCGCTCAAGACCATGAGCCCTCCACTTCTAGCCTTGTAATCTACAGGTGTCATCTCTGGCCTCGATCGCGCCAACAAATTTTACGGCTGATTTAACCGATGCGGCTTGTCATCAGACTTGACCTGCGGCTGTAGTCGAAAATGACGTTACAGGTTCTTGCTCCATACCCTGGACCAAATGACACCCTGTCTCCCCACCAGAGCACTTCATTGAACTCAAACACCCGCCGTCAAAGCCTGGTATCATAACGCCCTCTCCCACACCAAAACTCTCGAGTTTTTAATCTCCGTCCTCCGTCTACAGGCCCGATAATACAAAACATCATGCACATACACCTGTGCCTCTCAAACCGTGATAGCCTGGTTCTTGGCAGGATCCCCGGCCCATAAGCCCCATTACCTGATTTTAGTCTTCTTGCCCAGTCGAATATCCGGCCTACTACTCAGAAATATGCTGGGCCCATAAACGGCCCCGATGACAATGAATCTGCTATAGCATCCACGCTCACCTTTTTACTCTGGCGCTACACCCTATTCCGATGTCACACATAAGACCCTTTAGCTCCGAATCTCATGTCCTGCTTCGGGTCAGTCGTCGTCTTCGTTGACATCCACGCCGCCACTGTTGTATCTCTTCACATCACCCGATGCTCCCGGGTTACACTCAGAAGATAAGGCGGCCAGAAAATTGTGTATTAGTGCAATTAGAGATTTCTATTAATATTATTCGCTTGTGACCGTATTTGATGGTCGATATGCTCTCAACCACCAAACCGCCTCCCCATGCCCACACCGGTTCTCGAGCGGTTGCTCCTTTGTCTCGGTTGATCATAGATATCCCCCTGTGCGCTTGTGTATGAGGTGCCTTGGTCATCGGGTGGGTGTGAAATGCATGTACCCCATTTTGTCCTTCCTCCGCGCGGAATTCTGACGTGTGGGCGTACACGCACGACAATGGTTCATTACACGACTGTTCCGCTGCGCAGTAGGCTGATGCGCATCCGTATTACAGATCACCCCTACTGGGCCTCAAAACGCCCAGATATCCCACATGGTCAACTATATGACCAAATCCATAAGCATGCACACCGCTAGTGAACCAGTGAGTGAAACTCATGGGTTTTTCATCCATGATCATTGGTTGATTTGTCCCCCGTAAACCTGTCCCATTCGCCGTGGTACCTAAACCTGCTGTGCCATCAAACGCAAGTATGTACATGGGCGCTGCATAGTACCTTCATACTATCTGTGCTCTGCAATTGTTCTCAGCACTAGATTCACAAAACCTACTCACTAGGTTATAGCCTTTCAGCTTTCCGAAACCCTGGCCCGTCCATTGCTCTAGCAAAGAGGCTTCATGTTTTACCGACAGTGAAGTCTGCGAACGGCCTCACGAACCCGGTACAGCTCTTATCGGTGCCGAAACGTCTGAAACGACATATCGTAACCAGCCCAATTACTGCATCGGTCGTTTGCGGTACTTTCTCTCATCACTGACATCCTGGCCTACTGTCCTTTTATGTTCGACGCCCACCATAACACTTCATCAGATTCAAGCATTTACTGTCCAAGCCTTATTCCGTAACGCCCTCGCAACTGCATCTCCGAGAACCGGCCCCTTGTCGCCCACTGCGGGCCATATTCGGCACGCCTCGCTGCTTGCCCAACTAAGTGTGAAGGGTTGGTCCCAGATTGTACATTGTATCACTCGTGGCCTAAATAGCATATAGCTGGGCAATCAGATTGCGCGGCCAGTCTAAGGAGCCCGCTAAGGTCAGTCCTGTCTCTCCTGTTTATCAACGACTTCTTCAGCCTCGTGCTCATGGCAGAACCTTTCCATTTGAGAATGATACTAAAACTGCCTTCACGTTTCCTCTTTCTAATTAAACCCCTGCCTTTCACCAGATCATACAAGACGTAATCTCTTTGACTGGTCTAACGCCTCTAGTACACGCTCCTCACCACCAAGCTTCCTGTAACTGCTCCTTCCCGGCTGAGGCGTTCACAATTAGTGGTTAACCTGCCACTCATTTCACACAGATCAATGACCTCGGTCTCAGACAATCTCGTGCCTTAATTTTTTTCCACCAAATCCAATCCCAATTAGCGAGAGCACGTGGGCTCCGTTTTATAATTTTGCATTCCTTTCAAGTTTAAAACACGAAGGTAGCCATTTTTAGCTATAAGTGCAACCAATTATTTAATTATGTCCTGCCTTCTCTTCACTTTATACCCAAAATTGCATATTAGAATTTCAAAACTTATAGCTCCCATTCATCGAAAAGTTATTCCAACAATCCGGCCCGTCAATTGACTGGTAGACGCAGTGCCTGCTTGATCTGAGTGTGCTATATTACTGGACCGGATTTTCCACAGAAT